TCCTTTGGACTTCAGCAGGTCCAATTGTGGTATTATGTACTACTTCAGGAAAAATAGTAATAATAAAATTAATAATAATAATAATAATAGTAATATATACTCTTATGTGTATAATTATATTATGTTAGATATATTGGGTTTAGTATAAAGTTGTGTTATAAACATAGGTATATTTCGGTTGTCATTGAATGTTAGTAGTATTGGTTATCATTTAATTGGTAATATAAACAGTTATTTTCATTTAATTTGTGACTTTTACAATATATTAATGATAATTAACGTAATTATGATGACCATTGATATTAGCGTAATTAAAGCCTCAGTTACAAAACTTCAGCTATAAATAAGAGCTTAACCTAACCAAACCAATTCACTTCCATATTCTTCCAATCCTCAGCACCTCTCCATTTCCCTTCTCCTCTTTCTTCTTATTTCCAAATTATTTTTTTTATATTTTCTATTGTACTAATTTTTTCTTTGCCTACCAACCACGTTTCCATTCTCTAATCGCTCTTCTCCCAAGGAAGTCATCAAACAAGAAGTTCAGGTAATCTTAATCTCTAAAGAGTCAAGAGTTAGTTTTATATAAATTTTGATAGTGTGATTCTGATCCTTAGGGCATCATAGGGTGAAATTACATATGTTGGGAGTAATATATAGATGATTATTATATAATATTATGAACCCTATAATAATGATATATCTTGTAATTATTCGGTAATTAATATCATTAATAATTTATATGATAATATTTCATATTATATTAAACATGTATAATGAATCAATTTTACAATGATAGTGTATAATATGTTATCCTAATTAATTATTATTTAATTACATGTAATTAATCATTATAATATTATAGAGTATTTTTAATTGAATTATATAATTAATAATAAATTAATAGTTAATAATCTGTTTCAAAATATTAATAATTATAACCTAATTATATGATATGATTTATAAATAACCAGAACATAACAATGAATTATATATAATTTATGGATTTGGAAATTGTTAGCATCGTATTATGTGTTTATATTAATCATATTATAACTATTTTATGCGGATAATCCATTAGTAAGGATTACTTATTTAGCTTCATTTTATTCATATCTATTAATCCATTTAGGAAATAATAGATTAATTTTATATGAAATTTATTATATATAATCATAACCTTTAGTTAATCGTAGGGTAATTATATTATTGGGAACTTTATTGGGTTTTAACCCCTATAAAATAATGGAATTAATTATATAATTATTTTGGGAATAATCTTAATGCTATGATGGTGATAAGCGGAGATGATGGATAACGGACTATATATATAATATAAATTTTTACCTTTAATAAAATGATAGAAAATTGATCATATGCGATATGAATCTTATTGAATAATTGTTGAAATTATGGTTTTGATACCCTAGAAGTAATGAATAATTGATATGAGAATTGGATTATGTGTAATGATGATTGGATTCTGTGTAATGGATAATTGATATGATGATTGGATTTGGATTTTCCTCTGATAGATGTTGGATATTTGAATTATGATATCCTTAAATAATTTGGAAAATTATAATAATTGATATGATGATTGGATTTGAGCTTTACTCTGATAGATATTGGATATTTGAATTATGATATTCTTGAATAAATCGGAAAATTATGATAATGGATAATTGATATGATTTGGGCCTTACTCTAAATAGGATGTTGAATATTAGAATTATGATACTCTTGAATAATTTGAAAAATTATGATGCCCTCGAGCAGCTAATATAGAAAATATAATACTCAGAAGAAATTTTCCAAATATGATAATTGTGACAAGATTGAATTTTCCTGTTTGTGTGTGATTGTAATAAAATAATGGTGGGAAGATAACTTTTGGGATGGTACCTCCTGAAAGTGATGAACACAATCTATGGACTTTATGCCTTCGATGTTACATGATCTGAAAACGATATTATCCGTTTTTCCCAAAGTGGTATCTAGCAACATGGTTTCCCGGGATACTAGTAGCAACTTTGGAAAGACATGTGCACACTAGGAAGAGATGTTTTGATAATGGTCAAATTTGATTGTATGTGGTTGGCAACAGGATTTCCCGAGTCACGGGGTAGACTGGTAACAGGGTTTCCCGAGTCTATCATGGTTCTCTTCCTCCTAAATGAACTTAAACATGATTAATAATGGAATTTGATACTTGACTTGATTACGATGAATATTTGTGTTGTGATTATTATTATCTATGTAATATTGTGATTGATGCTAAGCCAAATATGTTAATTTATGATTATCCTTAATAAAATATCATTGAATTGATTATGTTAATTGATTGAGTTATAATTATTCTAAATAAAATGTCTTGATTGATGTTTGGGTTAATTATAATTATTGATTAACTTATGACTATCATTGATGTGTTCTGGAATGAGATTACCAGCTTTTGCTGATCGTTTGTGTTTGTGTATGTGTGATGCAATGATCCGGGAGAGCAGAATTTCAGTGAAGCAGGTTGCAAAGATTGGAACTAGCAGTAAGCAGTGAGGATAACGTCTCAGACATTTCAAGCTAGGCTTAGGATTTAATAAATGTATAAGATATTTTTAAGTCAATATTACACTTTGGATTTATATTTTGAAGTTTTAAATATTTACATTGAATATGTTTTGGTATAAGAGTATAATAAAGTTAGCCTTACACTCCGGATTAGTCCCATAGCCGGCTCAAAGAGTCGAAGCTCATGGGAATACCGGAGGGAGCCAACTCGCCTCAAAGAGGTAATTAGGGTTGGGTAACTCCAAAAAAAAAAATAAAGTTAGCCTTACACTTGTCCTTGTTACAGGTGCGGTGGTAACAGTTCCCCAAATTAGTTTTAGATTAGTTTTCGCGTAAGATCCTAAAAATAAAAAAATGTGAATTTTGGCAAATATATTATTACAAAAATATTCATAAAAATTGTTAGAAATTTGGGGGTGTTACATATTACGACTCCCTTGAGCAGATTGGGTAGTGTTACGTGGCTCATTATTAACTGACCCATTTCTCCCTTCACTATTCAGCACATTGGGCCTATTTTGGTGCTAATGGCCCGATTCACCAAGGCTGGGCGAGTGTAGCGTTTACTTCCATGCCCAACCCCAGTTCCCCCTTTCCCTGTCATCGTCCCACCTCTTCCAATTATGTTTTCCCTTTCCTGCACCCTCTGAGCTAGCATCATCAGACGACCCAAATCACGTAAATCATGAAGGCGAATTTCAACTCTGATCTCTTCTCGAACACATTGAGAAATGTTGCGCGCATCATTTCCTCTTCAGCGTCTTCTTCGTCTTCAGCTTTTACGTCTTCTTCTTCGTCCGCTTCTTTCTCTTCGTCTTTTTCTGGTTCTTCTTCACCTTCTTTTTCTTCTTCATCTTCAACCTCTGTTTCATCTTTTTCTACAACCGATGCATCTTCTTGTTCGATGCTTTTTCTTCTTCTTCGTTGATTTCATCTTCTTGGTTTCCTCCTCCTCCTTCTGTGTGCTCTTCTGTTTTCTTTACTTTTTTTCGTTTTTCTTCTTCAATTTTTTTAACGCTCTGCGACTTCATATTCTCGTATTCAAGTCCTATGTTTCCATCCTCTTGATTGCATCATCGAAAGCCTTTACCACTTTTAATAGCATTTCTTTGAGCTCAGAATCACTATTCCTTCCATTGCTTTTTATTTTTCTCACAAATCTGGACCAGAAAGCACTCCTAGGATTGTAGTGCTTTGATATAAACACTACACAAATTAGAAAGCCAACATATTTTTAGGCTCATCAGACTCCAAGTCCCATACGTTAGAGTAGGGTCATAACATTCCACCACGCTACGCAGCCTCGACACTCACGCGGGCTGGCTTTGTGCTAGTCTTTTACTAGCCCTGGGTGAACACTACAATGCTAACGTCACCACCCGTGCCACTCGATTACCACTAGGAGACATAGTTGAAGGCTCTGATACCAATTGATACAAACCTTGGGAGAACCTCATCCCAAAAGCTAGCCCATAAGGTTAGAGAGCCCAAAATCCATATAAACCTCACACTAGAACCTTATGTTTCCGATGTGAGGCTCCAACTCACATACCTTAGAGTAGGATCGTAACAGATAATAATGAACTAATGGCTATAGAAAGTAAGGGAGGGAAGTTAGTTACCAGAGAAGCCACATGGCAGGCCATGAATAGATAAGGGAAATTGGATGGTAATGGAAAGGAAGACCATGAATGGAGATGGGAAATTGGATTGTAATGGAGAGAAGATCCGGGAGGCAAAGAAAGAATATAAGATAGTTAGGATGAATGGTGGGGACACACACTTTTTTTGTGAGGTAGAAAGGTGAAGACATTGAGGCAAAGGGTTGTCTCAATAGCTGGCTATAATGGGATTATGGGAGTCTGAGTCTTCTGTTTTTACACATTACAGTAGTGTCATTTTCTTACATGTAATTACCTTTCTAAGTTGATGAATGGTAGCAAATCTGTGTTGTTCTTGATTTCCATTTTTCTCATAGTGTGAGAAGTATTTTTTGCTTCACATAATTTCTGGTACCATCACACGACAAGTTCTAAATAAAGCCAATACAAATTTGGTTTTAAAATCACCTTTTTATTGTTCCAAAATGTTGAAATTATAGAGTTCAAGTGGAAAAAGTGAAAGTGGGAGAGAGACTAACAATATAATATAAGATTGATAATCCGATGTGATACAATTTGATGCTTTTATTTTGGTTCTGTTCATAATAATAATTAGGTCCAGTACTAGTAACACTAGTACAATAACCCTAATATTCACACACCAAGCAGTATTCGATATTAGAATTATTCAAAAACAAAATTTAAACTAACTAAACAAAAATATTTTAAACTAGTTCAGTCTATCTTATAAAATGAGTTTTAATTTACACAACAAATCATCTAGATTAAAAGATATGAGTTAAAAAAATGACAATAATAATTGAAGCGCACCATTTGGAGAATAGATGCTAAGATGAATTGGAATAGGAGATATTTGCTTTGTCTTCCCCGTTAGTCTGTCAGTTTCATCCTGAATTTCCTGACGGACCAAGGCTGCAACAGGAAAACTAGATTGTGTAAAAAGAAACTGTTAACATCATTTATATACTATTCAATAGAAAAATAAGAAAAATTAATTGCATACAAAATTCTACAAGCAGTCACAATTATCACAATGATCACATGATAACTTCCAATCTATCGATGAGTGTTGACACTTGACATGTTCAGAAACAGAATTAACTGCAACCCATACAAAATTAAATTTTGTTCAGCTTCTAGAAATTGATTCTTTATTACCACATGGACATATGAGCAAAGCTCTATTATTAACATTAATATCATCTTTATCCCAAACTAATTAGGGTCAGCAATCGATCAACTTAAATAAACAACAAGAACAAACTGAGGAAAACTAATAAATAAAAAAACAGAAAAAAAAAAAGTAACAGGGCTGGTGCGGCCACATCATATAATTTATTCATATGCATTACAACTAAGACATCTTTTTTTTTATAAAATAAATAATAAAAAAAAATAATGTGAAAATGTCAATTAGAAAATGGTCAATAATGTTGCCACGACAACAGTACAAGATTAAGGTTAGTTAAACAGTTTGCTTTCCTGATTAAAACAGCTATACACAAATTTAGTCACTACAAGTACAAAAGATGATAAAGGAGGGTCACTGTCATACCAAAGTCAGTGAACTTTCTCCTTGGCAGATGAAGAAACTCGGCATACTCTTGTGACTCACTTTCCATCTTATGAAGCTGCAACACCAATGGACGCCTTGTCACAATCCCTGTAATTCATTACACCAAGGAAAAACATGACCCACGTCATACTTAATGAAATGAGAAAAAGAAAAAATGTAAAACCAAAAAGGAAAGAAAAGATCAAACCTGATCCTCTAGGCAGAAAGTCACGACCAACAATGCTCTCCAATACTGAAGATTTCCCCGAACTCTGACAAATTTCAAAAGAAACCAAAGATGAAAAATTAAATTTAGACCCACACCAGGTAAACAAAATTGAAAAAAAAAAAAAAAATTCCAAAAATTCGATCTTTTACCCCCACCCCGCATTTCAAGAATGTTAAGACTGCAAAAACGATAATTCTGACCCACACCCAAGCAACAAAAACAGAAAACTCAAGACTTAATCGAATTCTACTCAAATTTGATCCCAAAAAAAAATCGAAAATTCAGACACATTCACAGTAAGGAAAATAAAAAAATAACCATTCTAAAAAGTTCTCCAAGACAACTCTCTTGAGTTCTACTTTACTTTAGAGAAGAACACAGGAAAAAAAAAAAAACGAAAATTCAAACTACAAGCGGTAAAAATACAGAATAATTGAAAAACAAAAAGAAGCCAGTTCGAATTATTGGATTCTGTTTTCTCCACCGCAATTTCAAGAATTCAGACCAACACCTAGTAAACAAAAACATAAAAGCCCAAAAAACCCATTGCCAAAAATGCTATCCAAAATTAAACACTATCTGAATTCAACTCAAATTTCAAAAAGAAAAACAAAAATTCAGAACCACAACAAGTAAATTAAACGCATAAAAAAAATAACCATTTCGAAAGATCGATTAATCATTCTCCGCCACAAAGTTCAAGAGCGTTGATATCGAAAAAGGAAAAAATAAAATAAAAAAAATGGGTTGAAATGGAAGAGACGAACCTGGCCACCCACAACAGCAACGGTAGGAAGCGCTTCCCAGAGAGAAGAGAAGGCGTTGTTATCATCACCTCCATAGTCACCGAGCACAGTGCAAGCCCTCTGGATTCTGTTCACCAGCCCAATCAAGCTCTCCATGGTCGTCATCTTCTTGCACAAAACGCAAAAGCCCTAGAATCTCCAGGAGCAGCTGAAAACGACGACGTAGAAAGAACGCTAACCAGTGGACCAAGACGCGAAGCGAATTCTAGAAAGATAGAAAGAATACTACAGCTTTTGATTTTTGAACAAAGCTCACTTACTAGTAAATAGTAATCACCACTGTCTGGAACCCACAGACACGACGATATAGCGTTGTGCGCACCGCTTTGGTCGTTTTCCTCATTTTACCTTAAATTTGAAATTCCGAGGTGGGTCCCTCTGGTTTTTTTGGTGGGGTCCACATGTCGTGACTCTCGGGTGGCCGGCAACTCGATTCTGAACGTTGGTTTGGTACAGTTCAGTAGTGCCACAAGAAACCAGGACGGGACCAAATTCAAACCGTTGTTGAATTGGAAAAGTATAATAATTTTATAAAGAATTAAAAAATATATATTTTTCATAATTTAAGTATATTCAAATAAGGATGGTTTTGGTATAGTTTTAAAGGAAAAAACATCTATCATTTTAAAAAAGATATAATTATATATCATTTTAGATTATAATCGTTGATTTCTATCCATCAACGGTTATAATTTATTGGATCAAACTTAATGGGCAAAACTTATTATTAATTAATTAATAATTTTGATCCAATAAATTATAATCGTTGATTGACGGAAATTAACAATTAGGATCTAAAATAACATATGATTATATCTTTTAAAAAGATAGATTTTCATATTTTTAAATTAGTTCATTTAACAAACAAAAATTATCTATTCTTGAAAGAGCTTTAAAACAATAAATTAGATTTTATAAAATTAGGTGAAATAAAAATACGATACGTTTAGATAAAATTTGAAAATTATATTAATTTTTATAAAATTATTATTTTACTGACCTTGTTATAAAGTGTAATGCCTGGTATATGTTATTCCTTGTGATTTCAAATATAATCTATAATCAAATGATAATAGTTTAGTTGGTGTCAGGAACTAAACAGGTGAAGATAAGAGCATGTATTCGATCATTCTCAGTACCATTTTTAGGAGAGTTTAAAATTTTAATCTCAAGATCTATCCCGAATCAAACTAAGATGAACCGATTAGAATATTTCTAAAAAAAATAAAAAATATATAGTATTATGAATATGTCAAAACGAGTTTCCCAAAGGCAAAAAATTTAGGCTTACTCTAAGATAATGTTGAAGCATAAATAAGCAACTAATAGTTCTCTTAGTTCTCTATACTATAGCACTCATTTTTTTCTTTTTCTAGTATGAGGTTATTTAACAAGGGTTTCAACGTATCTTCTTTATCCATACAAATTTAATTATGGGTTTTATAAATGTTATGTTGTAGAAAAGATGATTATGTTATGTTAGAGATTCGTTTTCTGTGCCGTAATTTTTTTTTTTTACTTCAAAAAATATTAGCTCCATAAAATATTGTGTGTGTAAAAAAAAATTTGTGATCATGTTGGCCGATGAAATGTAAACCCCTTTAATTATTATATGGCCAAGCTCGAATTCATCTCTCAAGGAATAGTCAGTTCTGTACGAAATAGGGTTCAAACACTAAGCATTGAGAATCCCGATGAATATCCAGCCATGACAAAACGCATATCCGAATCTATCTAAATATTTGGGATCAAGATTCGGATGGAAATTTTTCCTCCTTTAATGGTTTGTTATTGTCAATAATATTTTGTTTGCCGTTGATACCTCAATAGAGGAAATAGGTGTGATTTCTTTAAAAAAAAATTGAGGCTCGTAAGAACAATACATAAAATCAAGATGTCGACGTAAGTTTGCAAACAAAAATAATGTTAATAATATGTAGCACTCCAAATTCTCTTATGTATCCAGTTTTGATGAATTGGTGAATCATGCTATTAAAGGGGGGATTTTATTAGGAAAGTTGTATCATTTTAAATTCTTCTATTTATTTGAATTTAATGGATTGGTAAACCATGATTTTTTTATTTTATTTTTTATACATAGTAAACCATGATTTTAAATGAAGAGTATTATAACAATTATCATGAAATTTTTTATTATTTTTAATTCTAGAACACAAATATAATAAAAAAAATTATAGATTAATTCCAAAAAAAATTAAAAATTATGTTTTAGTCTCAAGATTTTTTTGGAAATTACACATCACTCTAGATTTGATTGGAACTAGTAGGAGTGTTAATGGGCTAAGCCGAGCCTGACTTTTGTCTTAAAAGGCTATGTCTGTGTTTAAATGTATCAGTTTGGCCTAGCCTGTTACCTGTTGTGACTATATATATCGAGACTTACCATTATATATAACACTCCTTGCAATTTCGAGTGCAACCTTACTATCGTAGTGGATGGACACAACAAATACTGATTTTAGAAAATTTGGAATATCCTCAAGAAAGTTACAAAGTCACTCGGCTATCCCACCAACTTTATCTCAGACAATAAATTCTATTTCATGGTTGAACTTGTAATACATTTTAGCTTGGATGATTTCCAAGACACAACACCCTTACCAAGTGTGTACATATACCCATTTGTGGACTTGTTATTATAGTCGGTGATCTAATTTGCATAACAATATCTTTCTAGTATTGCAAGATACTACAAGTAATGCAAAGCATGATCTTGAGTATGCTTCAAGTGACTCGAGATACATGTGACTTCTCTCTAATTATTCCCATTTGGACTATGACATACATAGTACACTAGCATACTCAACATATTTCTTAGCTTGGCTAGTGTTTCCAAAGCATTCCTCGATACTATAACCATATTCACATGTACTTCTAAGATCTCAAACTTATACATAAGGAATCAATATGCACTATTATCAAGTGCATATCTAATAAAAACACAGTCTATTGTCTTTGTCTGATTTTAACCTTCTTTGGTTTGGGAATCGCGACCTTAGCCAAACATCCCCACACTTCAAGATAATTCAAGGTAGGCTTCCTACTTTTTCATATTTCACATAAGGGGTGTTCTTTGTTTTCTTGTAGGGTACTTTACTGGTTATATAGTTTGTCAATAAAATGACTTCCCCCACAAATTTTGTGGTAAACCAAACATTAACTATAATAAACCAAGTAATTAAATTGGATAATTAAGAATTATTTTATGATTAAAAGAGGTTGATTAGATGAAAAATCTAATTATTCAAGTTAATTCACTTTTCGGGGCAAAAATGCAAATATTGAAAATTTTGGGGTAAAAATATAATTTGACAAAATTACTCGAAACTTAAAAATAATTTAATGGATACCATCGCATAAATTTTTAAGAGCCTAAAATTACAAGTAAAGTACTATAAGTTGTTAGAAAAGGGTGAGATATACAAGAATGGTAAAATAGTATTCTTCTAGTAAGATATTTTCACATAGTCAAAAAGCAACTAAAGTCACATTCTCTCTCTAGTTTCTCTTCCTCACTCCTGTGAAAAGCTTTCTCTTCCTATATGATCAATGTCTTCATCTCATTTTCTTGAAAGAACCCATTCGACTAAGTCTCCAAGAAAGAGTCATCTAACTTCACCATTCCACTAAGCATTAACTAGAGATTGAGACCCACCCATTGGTAAGATCTCCAACTACCATAGCATTTCCAGATATACTCACATTACTTTATCATATTCTTCTTTCAAAAACCAAGAATGACAATTTCATAAATTTTCAAAATATCAACAAAACTTACAAACACAATAAAAATCAACAGATAACAACAATTAACAGAGAAAACACATCATCACATAAAACAATTCATCAACTAAACAAATACATTAAACATTAAAACACACACATTCAATCTACACATTACAACACATCACAGAAATACAAGATAAACCTACACCTACACTTACATATATACTTATCTTTACATCATAAATAGCTGGAACCACCCAATGACCGAATTCGTTCACGGTAATAACTTATTATATTCCACCAGAGTCATCCATTAATCGAATGAAGTCAACTTGTACAACCAGTTTATTCGTTGGCCTCGTACTGGAAATCTGTCATATAACCACCCGATGACCGGATGCATTCACGGTAATAACTTATCATATTCCACCAGAGTCATCCATTAATCGAATGAACTCAACTTGTATGACCAGTTTATTCGTTGGCCTCATACTAGAAATAAGTCATATTTTATGTATATATATATATATCACCTTATTGAATTATGTACTTTCAATTTAGCACTTACAAAGCATCCCTTTTTCTAATAATTACCTTTACAAACTATCACAGATATTTAGTATTCATTACTTTTCTCTTTACGAGATACAACCGATTCACCGTGAAATTTATCAGAACATCAAAGTATCTGATTCTCACACATAAACTTTACCAGACATACAATTTCATTAGAATTTCAGACTCAAAGTACATCTCCAAACTTATCAAACATACCAGTCATTTCACAAATTATTAGACACATCAATCATTTCAGATATCAGTAGGCATGTCAATCATTTCGCATATTAACAGACACATTAATCATTTTACATATTAACAAATACATCAATCATTCCACATATTCACATACATGTCATTCATTTCACACATCAACAGACATGTCAATAATTTCACATATTAACAGATACGTAAATCATTTTAGTGACTAAACAAGCAAGTTCTCAAGCTCTTCCTTCCTTCATGGTGGTCACGACTTTTAAAGGCATAAGAATACAGATTTTTGCTTCTTTAAATAAGAAGAACCGACTTGCTAAGTGAGTAGGAAATATCTAGTCTACTTTGTTGACTTCCAAGCTTTCTTTCTTTGTTAGCTTACTTCTTGTTGGTTGGTTTTCTACACACTTTTTTCCCTCTCATCATGTGCTGATTTGGAGCCTTAGAAGACAAGGAGAAATCAGATTTTTGTTCACAAAATATCCATATAACATATTAACTAGTTAGCTTTTAAAATAACAAAGTTATCTTTAATTCTATTGGCTAATTAAACCATACTTTGTCATATTTTTAACAATTAATCTAGACATTTTAAGGTACGTTGTCCCAATGATATACATATGTTGACCCAATGATATACTTTGTCATTATTAGATTAATCTAAAGATACGTTGACCCAATGATATACATATGTAGCTGC